AGATTTCTTGAGGTAGTGCTCCTGACTTTTGTGCAGATGGGGTGGATGTAACAGGTACAAAGGCCTGAATTCAGTCATGAGACTTTAATGTGGCATAAACTACCATTTTGCTTCTTTATCTGGAGTCTCCTTTCAAGAAATGATTTGATGTCACGTATCTACGTTAATTTTTCCATGCTAACAGTAATTTTATGCATCTAGGTAGTAGTGATTCCTGTAAGAATTGTATGTGCTTTTCTTGTAAATGCAAAGTAGACGTGTATTTTTGAATGGTGAATCTCTAGACGTGCACTAATACCGCTGATAGCTTCAGGCTGCCATTCAACACCATTATAACCTGACAAAAAACCATCTCTGCCCCAAACTGCAACAAAAAAGAACCTTGTTCCTATTTCCATTGTGAATACCTGTTCCTACCACGCAGCATGTAACTGTAACCAGAAGTCTTGGAAATTCGAATGAAGTAATAGCTTATGATTTCAGAAGTTATCTGCTGAAATGAGATGGATAACATTCAACAACATGGGAGGGAACCCTCCTCCTTGGGTATGCTAGGGTGCTACTACTGTTTTTGTTGTTGCTATTAAGTAATGAGGTACTCTGAATAGAAACTCTCTGACCTAATGACTTATTTCAAAACCAAAGCTTTTCTGTAGATTGAGTATCATAGGAAAGCAATCTCTAGCCAGGCTTTAAAGCAAAGAATACTTATTCCAGTATACTATTTAACATGAGATACTGGTTTATGCTACCTTGAAATGCAGAAAAATCAAGGCAGGAAGCTCAAAGACCCAAGTTCATTCCAACCTTACTGCTTTTTACTGACATACAGGGTAATTCATGTGTATCCTCAGCACTTAGGATACACCAATGCATACGTTAAGTATCTGGGGTTAAGAGAACAGAAATTTTGCAATTTGATTTAGCCTACCCTTACAGAAGCTACACATACTTCCAGGGGTTAATTTGTGTTCTGTGAGGTAGCCCTCATCTCTATACTTGATTGATTATAAAGCAATTTTTTAAATATACTATTCTGAATAGCTGTATTACAATGGGTTCATATTTCATAGAATCATAGAATCAGGTGGGTTGAAAAGGACCTCTGAGATCATCAAGTCCAACCCTTGATCCACTACCACTGCAGTTACTAGACTATGGCACTAAGTGCCACATCCAGTCTCTTCTTAAATACCTCCGGGAATGGAGAATCCACCACCTCCCTGGGCAGCCCATTCCAATGCCTGATTACCCTCTCTGTAAAGAATTTCTTCCTAATATCTAACCTAAACCTCCCCTGGCAGAGCTTGAGACCATGCCCTCTTGTCTTACTGATAGTTGCCTGGGAAAGGAGACCAACCCCCCCCCTGGCTACAGTCTCCTTTCAGGGAGTTGGAGAGGGTGATGAGGTCACCCCTGAGCCTTCTTTTCTCCAGGTTAAACAGCCCCAGCTCTCTCAGCCTCTCCTCCTAGGTCTTGTGCTCAAATCCCTTCACCAGCCTTGTTGCTCTTCTCTGGACCTGCTCCAGCACCTCAATATCCTTCCTGAACTGAGGGGCCCAGAGCTGGACACAGCACTCCAGGTGTGGCCTCACCAGTGCTGAGTACAGGGGAAGGATCACTTCCCTGCTCCTGCTGGCCACACTGTTCCTGATCCAGACCAGGATGCCATTGGCCTTCTTGGCCACCTGGGCACACTGCTGGCTCATGTTCAGCTTCCTGTCAATCCAAACTCCCAGGTCCCTTTCCCTCTGGCTGCTCTCCAGCCACTCTGTGCCCAGCCTGTAGCGCTGCAGGGGGTTGTTGTGGCCAAAGTGCAGGACCCGCACTTGGCCTTGTTGAACTTCATCCCACTGGAATCAGCCCAACTCTCCAGTCTGTCCAAGTCCCTCTGCAGAGCCCACCTCCCTTCCAGCTGATTGACACTCCCCCTCAGCTTGGTGTCATCAAATTTACTAATGGTGGACTCTATCCCCCCATCAATAAAGATATAATAATAAATCAATAAACAATAAATCATCAATAAAGATATTAAACAGAACTGGACCTAACACTCATCCCTGGGGGACACCACTAGTGACACTTACCACATGCCAATCTGTGTTGTGAAAATTCTGAACACTGGTTGCTAGAAGAGAGGATATTTTGCCCACCAGTATGACTGGTGTTCTTTAGAGAGGGATAGGAGTGTAATAAGTGTGTTTGTGGCATTTTTCTTTCTAACATCATGGTTATGTCCTCTCCTCTAGCCCCTAAATGGCACAGAAGTTCCCAAGTCATGAGCTGGTCATTAGATTTGGTTGGTTTGCTTGGTTCTATTGATTTGTTACTGATCTGATGCAGATCTGACTGTGGCATGTGTGGTTAAGGAGGATTGCTGAGCACATTAGCATGGTAATATGAGAAATGGTGACACGCTGATTGCAGCCTTTGTGGTCTAATTCCTGAGAGGTGTTACAAAGTATAATTGGAGGAAATTAATGTGTTTTCAAGCGTCAAAACTCATGGCCACTTAGTTATCAGGAAAAGAAGGGAATAAAAAACAGGAGCCAAAACAGGTATCTCCAATATGGGTACCAGGAGATAAATGGAAGGGTTGCTACAGCTGAGGACAAAAACACCGCATGTGTGAAAGATGTTTCAAAAGTTGTCAGGGCATCTCAACTCTATTGCTGCAACTTTCATAACCCATTCCATCTAAACCTTTCCCTTCCACTCAGGTTTTTCAGCTTACACATCTTTTCACTGAGGAATGACTTTTTTTTCTTTTTTTTATTTTCCTTTTGGAAATAGCAAAGTAAGTACCTGTGTCAAGAGCATATTACATAAACATGAGCACATTACATAAAGGATTCCGTGGGAAGGGGAGAAGGAGCCAAGACAAGGAAAGCAAAGGTGTAACAAAACATGAGTTTTCTTAGGAGCAGAGCAGAGGGAGCATGGGAGGGGAGAAGGGTGGGGTGTGTGCAGTGGCCGTTCCCGCACAGGAGTTAGAGCAGGTTGTCTGGGCAGGGCAGCTGGGCAGGCCGTGGCTGTCAGGGACAGGCGCCTGCAGCAGGGCCGAGCCCGGCCCCGGGCTGGGAGCGCCGAATGACCCGCTCGCCGCGGTGCCGGGAAGCCCTAACGCGGGGCTCCTCCGGCCTAGTTCCTCGTTGGCCGACTTGCCTTGTCGCCCTTCTTCTCCTCCTCCCGGCGGCTTCCTGCCGCCGCGGCTGCCTCTCCTCGCACGCACCGCTCCCTCCATCCTGCCCCGCCGCTTCCCGTTCCCCCTTCCCCTCCCGAGGCGACCCTCGTCGGTGGGGCGGGATGTAGCGCCGCAGCCCCGCCGGGCCACCCCTCCTCGGGGCGCGACACCCCGGCAGCCCCCCTGGCACCGCCACCGGTGTCGCCTCCGTGCTTTCGGTTCCGGGGGGTCCCGCTCCCGGCCGCCGTGCCTCACCTCGGGTGCGCCGCTCCTCTCCGTCCTGCCACCTCGCCACCCCCTGCGGAGCTCCCCGGCCCCGCGGCGGCGGGAGGCGAGCCCGGCCCGCTCCTTCTCGTAGCACGGAAGGTGTCTGGGCTCGCCCGAGGGCTCCGCGGAGCTGCCCCTGCCCTGGATGCTGTGCAATGACTCGGCCTGTGCGACGCAACGCGCGCCCTCCCACCGGGAGAGGAGGGCGGGAGCCCTGCCCGTCCCCAGCGCCGCCGCCTGGGTGAGCCCGGTGCGCATTGTGAATGGTGAAAACCTGGCCGCGTTACCGAGCCCGACACAAACTGAGTGCGTGGAAATAAATGCCTTTCTCTGTTGAGGATTTGGTGCTGAGATGTGTGGGGGGAAGTTGTTCGGGAAGGGTGGAGGCAGGAGTTTGTCAACAGGGTAACTGTAACACGAGCCCAGTCCCGGGGACAGTTGGCAGAAATAGATAACCTAAAAGGACCGACAAATACCGTCTAGTCCATTCTCCTCGGGAGGTCAGGTATGTTGCTAACACAGGTGCTTTACATAAGACCGATCGCTTTGCCATTCGTCCAGTGAAATGAAGGTGATGATGAGTGTCTACCCTCTTTGCCGTGATCTTTCCCACTGTGGGGAACTGTTGTGCTCTCCACGGTGCTTTGCAGTGGAGTTCACGGCCTAGTATTACCAGGCAGTACCAGAAAAGCAGCAAATCAGTCTGGGAGGGTGATAGCAGCCCACAAATTGTGTCCTTCATTTCTCCCTGTGATGGTCAGCAGCGTAGTATCTGAAACCATCCATGTACTTCTAAACCATCCATGTACCCCCATCTGCTCTTCTAGGAGAAGACACGGTCTGTTTTGTGTCTTCTGATGGCCAGCACATGCATCTGCTAGGGGCAGGGGGCTCCTGCCTGCCAGCTTCCTGAGAAGTGTCTCTTTGGAAAGACAGAAAAGACACAGTAGGATCTGAGCAGTTGTGGTTTTGAAGAGGTAGAATAGCCTTGGCGATCACTTTCAAGCTTTCTCTCTGAGTATTGAGACTGCACTGTGTTGGACAAACTTAATAAATGTTTTCTTTTCAAGATCTCTCTCACCAAAAAAAAGCTGAGTGCAATCGTTTCCCCTCAAAAAGGAAAACAAAAAAGAGTTGGCAGTGGAACTAGTGCATGCCCTGTTTTCCCACTGATTCTTGATCAGCTGGTATTGAGATAGAGCAGGAGTTTAATGCTCTGACAGCTCCAGATGCAGGGGCAGATCACACCTACTGTAATGAGGAGACTTGGGATGGAATCCCAGATTGCCAAACTAAGCTCGTTCCAGTTTGTATACAGCCATTTTGTGTACAAGGTTTTTTTGTTTGTTTTGTTTTTGTTTTTTTGTTTTTTGTTTTTTTTTCTTGTTTTGGTTTAGTTTGGTTTTTCTGCTTTTGAGCTTTGCTTTGTGTATGGGGCTAGAAGCATGGGCTGAAGGCAGGGAGAAAAATGGTTGAATTTTTAAGAATTGTGTGGTTAAAAAGCTTGCATTCTCATACAGTGGTGTTTTGCCAAGAAGCACTAGGCAAAAAAGGCAGAGATTGGCATTTATTTGTTGGTGTTTAGAGGTCAGTGCTGCCAGTTATGATATTCCCTCTTTAAATGAATAGGGAAAATAAACTGACCCAGAAATGCAATCTTAATTTACAGAGAAATTTCTTAATTCTGATTGAGAAGAAAGGAAGGTTATCTTGACATGGACAATAAGTTCAATACATTTTTAGTGCTTTTCACAATGATGCATTTACATAAGCAGAAATCTTCAATTTTAGTATTAATGAAAATTAAATAAGGCCATTACTTCTCTTTTTACTTTAACTGAAACTTTCACTAATCTCAATGAAACTCTTACATACTTTGTGCTAATAATCTCAACCATCTTATTAAAACTTATAGTAAATAAAATATAAATACATCAAATTATCAAAAAAACCCACAGGTGTTTGACATGTAGCTGGTTTTATTGCCAGCAGGATGAAATGTGCAGGTTTCATTGCATCATTGGAAAAATTGTAGGGTCTTCTGTCACCTTTACTGAGTGTTCTGAAGAGATCTGAAAAGAGTAAGACTTTGAAGGGCTCTGGAATAATGACTGAGTGGGCAATGAGACAGAAAGTGAAGGTCGAGTTATCAAAGGGGTGCACATGAGAAAAAAATTTACCCTAAACAAATGTATAAAATAATGGGCCTTGAGCTGACCGTTACCACTGATGGCCAAGTTTGTAGGGTTACAAGAGATGCAAACATTAGCTTAAGCAAACCATGTTTCAGAGATGATTATAAAAGGAGCAAAGAAAGTCATGGAGTTGACTCTGCATGTGCCTCTGGTTGCCTCTTCTCAGTAAAGGGATAGTGAGACTGGAGGAGTTCAGAGAAGAACAACAAGGTTGCCCAAAAGCCAATGAGACTTTTCTTGGAAGAACAACTGAGCAGGACAGGACTCCTTGGTCTGGGAAGGAAACAATTTAGGAGGGGTAGTGATGCACATGTACAAAACTCCGAGCAGTGTGTAAAAGAACAGATGAGATTGATTATTACTGTTGACTGGGAGGAACCAAACAAAGCTACTGGGAACCAGGTGCTTCACCGGCCCAGGGCTTCCTCCCCACTCCGATGCTTCATGCAAGGAAAAACTGACCTGCTGTACTTTGCCAAAATATATTGGCTGCTTGAAGTTGACATGAATTCAAGAGAATGCTGAACAAAATTCCGAGCAGAGATCTATTCTTTGGCTTTGTAAATATAGAGAAAAATGTATGTACCTCAGAAAATCCCCCAAACTAAATGTAGTTAGTGCCCAGGTCAATATTCATGCGAAGTGCTTGCTCTTCCTGGCCTATAACCACTGTGCAGAAAAAACTCAGGGCTGCGGGATCCTTGTTCTGACCTAGCAAAGCCACTGTGGATACTTAGATTACATATATCTAGGCTAATACAAGCGCCTAATGTGTTTGGGATCTGGCATGTATCTGCCAAATAGTGTCAAGAAGTGTATCCTGAATATACAGGTCAGTCCTTATTAGACTCTTCACGAATCTGCTTTCTCCACAACTTCGATGTATAACACTTTCCCCCTTAATAACTTCCACTTTCATTTTCCTGTAACAGAGGTATTGAACCAAAGCCAATTCCCTGCTTGCGTAACCTAAAGGCTTTCTCTCACACACCCTAAAGCAAACCTCTACAACAGCTCTGGGCAGCACTGCTTCCCAGGGAATGTCCCTGTAGGAGGTGGCCCTTCACTTCATACCAGACCAAACAGGAACATGTGACTCTTTCCCTGCAGTAGTGCTTCCCAGTCTGGTGTATCAGCTTACACTGTCCCTGCATGTTTATTGTCCAAATAGCCCTTAAAGAACTGTGAGGCTAGGGTGTGACAGGACTGGCACAAAGAAGGGATGGCAGATGCATATGCTATAGGCAGAGACCTAAGTGTCATTTGGCAGCCACTCAGGAGACCATTTCTTATTTGGGCCACATTCTTTTAATTCCAGAGTGCAAAGCCAGCTGTTGGGTGAGCTGGTCAAAGCAAGAAATTGGGTAGCTAAGTGAGAAACCCACCCCTTGCCATATGCACCAACAGGGTTAACAGCTCTCCAAAAGAATCCTGCTACAGTTCAAGGTAAAAATCGTGGAT